TGGGAACTGGTTTTCATCAAAGTTGAAGAAATTTTATTATTAACAGCAATAACCTTGCACTTAAACATACAATACGGTTTGATATCACAAACATAATCATATCTTAGATTAAGGTAACGAACGATAAAAAGCAGGTTTCCTTTACAAGAAAATTTATTGATTCAATAACCAAACAAACTCGATCACATACTTTACAAACTACCTATTATGAAAAACAGAAACAGAAGCAATTCAGACACCAAAACCAGGTTCACTCTATGTAGAAATAAACAAGAAACCTTTGTCGGTGTTCATAGAATTTGCGCTAATGTCTACTAAAGAAAAGCTTTTTAACAATCTCGCTCGTTATAGAAATGCTAAAAAGGCTTTACGTTAGCACACAAGTGTCCATTCCAGTGAATATTATGGTGCCATCTACCACACAATTTATTAGACTAGTAAATTGTGTTCACGCAATACAGTCTTTATGAATAGAACATAAAAATCTAACCAGTTTTCAATTGAACGCCCAGTACTAGGTATAAAAATAATAAAATGTAAATGTCTTGTGAAAGCCGAGGGCGGTCACAATTTTACAGTAGTCGACAGGCATTTTCGAAGAACTATAAAATTCAAATATTGAATGCAACATTGTGCTGCAGATAAAGTCGTTTACAATAATATGAAATATTCATAAAAGGGAATCGACGGTGGCCACCGGAATCGCGAGGAACGAACAAGAAAAAAAAAATAAGCTGAACAATCGACTGGTGAACATCGGTCATGGGACAAGTCTACCAGTCAACATATATATTAAACATCGTCATGTCTGTATAAGGAACGTCCTTGGGACGCTCTAGTACAGGGAAGAGCTTGTACTCGATCAATATCGGCTTCTTTTGTATCTTGTTCCGATCCTACTTATTGAGCCAATACTTGAAGATTTTATCTCGCGCTCGGCATAGCGACACAAATGAAATATTGCTGGGACGGACTCCTCATGAAATATGTAATCTGATTAACTATTACAATAAATGACTCACGTTGAGAACTTAAACAGTCCAACGACCATAAAACGGATAAATTAATACATTTATGAAAATTATTTAAACACTTTTAAGAATTTAATTAAAATACATATTTGCATAAAGATTCGATGATACCTATATCACTGATATGCTTCGAAGAAGCCTTAAAGTTTTAAAATTATTTTCATTAATGACTGCTGAATACCGGATTATTCTGAACTTATTCAAAGATCAGGGTTCCGTGATCGTTCACCGTAACGCACAAAGACAATAGACAATTACATTTATGCAAATTCAATTCATTCGAGTAAAGCTGCATTATGTTTTGCGTTTATCGTCTATTTTATTACACATTTTGTATCCCGCACATCGGCCGCATTTATAGGCGCTGGCGCATTTGACTGTCACAACTTTACAAGTTAGTTCCACTTTGACGGTGACCACCATGGCGTTATATTTTGCATTCTGTCTACAATATATTAAATACGACGGAAACAGCCCAACAAAAGAGCATGGAATTGGATATAAAGTTGGTACGAAGAAAATATTATAGAGAATTTACTCGCATGCCATATTATTCCGTCAAGCAATCGGATAAATTGCTTCTAAGAGAAATTATGTTTAAATCTCGACCACACGACAATAATTATCAGATCTTTTGGATTAAAAAACTACATTATAACTGTCCAGTTTTTATCTTAAAACAATCTTTTTAATATAAATTTAGCCAAATATGTATTGAGATAATGTCTTAGAATTTCCCGTATGCTTAATCTTGATAGACTGAATTCCCAACCAAGTGTTGATTACTGTCACTTATCGTATAGGAATCAACATAAGCGAAGTAAATGCTAAGTTAAAAATGTGATAAAGAACTTTAAAGAATACAGAGACGCATTATGCACCGAAATTGGAAGTTATAAAAAGGGGAAAATTGAACAAACAGACGAGACGATTAACGAAAGTTAAGTAACAATAATTATCTCAGTACGGAACTGAATGGCTACTTTTGTAACAAAAGTGCATTAACTTAGCCTTTTTAATACTAACTAGGACACTTTCGTTTGGAAAGGAAAGTAAAAGATGACAAAGGTATCTTTTATGTTCTCGTATTTAGGAGAAAGGTTTGTTAATTTTCAAATATTTATAGGAACAAATGCTCGTGCTGTTGCTATGTAAGAAAAACATGGTTGGTATTTTTTTAAAGAATGTAACTTTGTTATGATAAATGTTAAAGTAAATGTGGTAGTTTGAAATGTCTTTCATCTAAGGATGAAAGAAAATGAAACAGGGTAAGCCCTGTTTCATTTTGAGTGAAATTTCTGGATAGTCGTGAATGTTTGTGTAAACTGACTTTTATTTTCCTATGTTGACATAGGCTCTGTCTTTCGTAGCTCAATTTATGTAAAGAAATTCCACACAGACATAGGCAATATGAATGTTATATATTCCATAACAATATTAAGTAAAATTTAAAACTTCATTACCCCGAACTAGTGGGTAAGTATAATTTAATGTTTTGCAATCATTCAAGTCTTGAAAATTTTACTTTAATCAAGAAAGCACTAAATAGTTTTACTGAAGTCGAATTGCTAATTTAAATAAATAGCAGAATATTCAAGCTGTCTGTTGTTCAAAGGCGCCATTAGTAATAATAAAGTTGTTCAGGATTTGCTGGGATTCTTTAACATATTATCTCCGTCAGCCACAATTTATCAGCTCGTATAAATGTTTACTGCGAAGAATAATCTTGATAATTATATTATTCCTTAGAAATTAACGTTCCCAGCAAATTATTTTCTTCTGCAGTAAATCCAAATTTGTATCCATTTTATTTACGATCAAGTCTATAACAGGCGCATCTTCGACCAATAAAAAGGCACCAGTTGTTCACTGCGAGAGCCCTTTAAGGCAAAACTCAATTTTGAGGTGCGAGAATTCATAAAAAACGAGATTGGCAACTGTTATGGAACGAATAATCTGTTAACAGATCGTAAATCAGACGGTACTGGAGATAAGAGAGCATCCGGTGGACTCACGAAGCGCAATCGATTTGGACTCATTATATGGCTATTGCTCGGCGCCAGTTATGGATATTCGCTGCGCAATTTGTGTATTATTTGCATCGGGATAGTTGTTCGATACCGCGATCACGCAGGGGCTTTCTCAATGCGAAAATAAACGGAGATAAGCTCAAGAAATAAAATCGTGCCGATGACTAGAAGCGCTCAACAATATCTAGATAACCATTTAAAACCACATAATAAATTACGATTAACGGTTCCTATTAAATAAATAATACGTTACGAACGATTAATTTTAAATTATGATACCAATAAATCAGTGTCATAATTATTTTGAACACTCAATTTATATCTCTACTAAATCCCATTATTAAGTTTGCAAAAAAACTTTGATAAAAACGATTAGTGTCGATTATATACAAAAACTTCCAGTATTTATTTTATTTCTGCGTGGTCAGTAAATGAGTGGGCGTGCTCTCCAATTTGTTGACGTTGAGGTCCTGATTGTATGTTTGTACAGGGATGCACGATGAGAGCATGCGAAATATCCGCCGAGGTGGGCGGCACGCGAATGGCATCTGTTATATTATTGAATCCAGTATTATCGTTGCAAGTGCAATATTTACTTCAACAATAAACTGATTTGTTACCTGATTCAATTTAAATACGCTAAGTGGTACAGTCGGTTTCGATGTGTGCGTGTATAAATATTTCCGAGCGCGGTAGAGTCTAATGCAGCCTGTCTGTTTACCGCAATTTAGCCATCAAATCAAATTAGTTTATAGATGTTGCGATATTTTCATCCCACCTGTACAAGATATTTCTGCACTATAAATACAAAACAATTTCAGTCTCTACGATGGTTTGCTTTTAACGCAAAGTCTAAATATTGTTAGGAAAAAATAGAATTATCGTTTCTACGAAATGATCGGTTGAGTCAGGAGAACATTGCTGCAAACTGGCAGAAGGAAAATGGGTGTGGTAATTTAATAACTGTATTAAATCAAACGTAAGTATGCAAGGCTCTTGAAGGTCCGTTACGTGAGATTTGAATCACGGTATTTATATTGTACATAATTCATTTTGGGATCGGATGAGTTGGTACTCGCGTGAAACGTCGGAAGTGATCAAAGCGGGATCACGAAGCGCGGACGCGCTAACAAACCGCTAATAGACGATCGTGTTCGTGACCCCGCCCTCCGCGGCCCTCCCCGCCTCCCGACCACAACAATAATGTCCGAACTGACGGATACTATTATTGCATCTTGCTCGTTTACACAACACCCACGTGTATCTGCATACCAGATACTTAATAAGATTTGTGAGTCAGACCGAGATCAAATCAATCGCGCCTTCAGCAAGACGGTAAATAAATAATGATTGGTATATTCCAATTATTGCAAATGGATACGAGTAGTGAACAAGATGATATCGGTAATGTTATTCATGGATAGCTGTGTGCACTAAACACTGCCAACAGTAAATATATACTACTGCATTTATTTGCAAGGAAATGTGAACAGACAACTGTAAACTTCCTATGCTCATCTATCACTTGCAGTCATAAATTATACTTTATATAAACTCGAGCAGGGAGGTGAAAAATTTCATCCTAGCTGTATGTTAGTGTTACTAGGCTAACTAGACTTAGGACACCGATGAAACGATGTTTGTTTTGTGTTCACGTCTAAATATTTTAAAACGTTTGATCAAAGCAGCATCGCGTTTGTCTTGTGGGGTAGCAGCTGTTTACTTTAAATCAAGGATGACACAGTGTTTTAGGATTTATTAAGCAACCTATAAATAATATACATACAACTGTAGACCATAAGTTTAGACTACATGTACAAGCAATCACTATGAAACATTGTTATACAAGTTTAAAAGTCTCGTTCCCAAACATAACAGACTTCATGTTTAAAAAGAAGTCATGAAGTCAACCGGTCAATCAATTTAGAAGTCGACTCACCCTTAACCGCTGGTCGGCGACTGTCCACACGCGACTGGCGAAGTCATTAGAAGCTCCTACGATGTATGCGCCCGTTGAGTCGAAGTCAACTGACATGACTCCCGCGTTCGATCCTACTAGTGTACCTCTTGTTTCCACCATACCTGAAAATGTTGTGAAGATTATCCTTAATCAATATTCGTGAATGAAGGCCCTAGATACCATTGAATTACACACTGCCTATAGTATACACGGTTCGAGTTAAAAAACAAAACATTGAATTTAAGTTTTATTTAAAGAAGAACATTTTTCAACAAATATAAGCAAATTTTAATTTTATCAACGGCTATATAGTACAGGTAGAGTGCCTCGCTTTATTACCTGACATACTGTTTATAAACATTTTTTGTTTGGCTCGTTGTGTAAGTAATTAGGGCTCAAAAACCAGTAAGTGACCATGTTTAGGTATGCCTATTCACAAAAAGGCATACCTAAAGATGACTTTTGAAAGAACCAATGGTTATTGAAGATAAAAACCAATTATATACAACTTTTCTTCAAGCCTTCCAATACGAAAGCAGCAAAAACCAAGAAAGATATATTAAACTTACATTTAGTAACATCCCATAATTTGACTTTTCTATCAGCTCCACCTGTGGCAACAATTCTGTCCGTTGGACTCCATTTCACTGCATTTACTTCACCGTCATGAGCATCCTGGGATAACAACTCCAATCATTAAACTATACATTATTCATGAATTATACGAAACCACACACCGAAGACTCCCAAACATTAAAACATTAAGCTTTTAGAAAACCGCATGCATACCTTGGAACTTCGGTATATTACTTACAAATCTCAGTGCAACTTTATTCGGCAAAATAGTTGCGAAATACGGCATCGAGTCCAATATTTTGTCTTCAGAACTGCCCGACCCACTACTCCTACTACCACTCTCTCTAGCTGCCTCCTCCAACTCTTTCCGCACCTTATCACTTTTCTTTCTGAAAGAAAACATTTCAAACAAACATAAGACGGGTTCCCAAGTCTCTTTGTTGCGACTTTTATTACCGCTTTGACCGCTTTTCCGCGAAGCCATTTTTGCAGGCGGACTAGTCGATACAACATACCACATTTTATAGATACGACCTATTTCTTTTGCCCAACCATAAATATTAATACCAACATGCATAAAACACAGCAATCGTGGTGATTATTAATTAGTCTTTAGCCTTATGCGTCTAAAGCATCTGCTACTAGACATCACAATTTCCCGTCTCTACGAATAAGTTCAATGAAGGTGCGTATATCCAGAATTCAGAATAATTTTCATGCACGATATCCCAATACATAATTGATGCCAATTTAACAGATAAATAAATTCTGCATACGAACCTTAATGAAAGTATATTATAGGAAACATTTTTACGTCAGACATTGTAGTATTATTTCGTCCTACATTTACATCAAACATGGCACTATCTACCATTCACTAGTAGTAGTGTCTACCGAGCAATAGTGCACAATCCAATTAAAAAAACCATGCAAACACGTTACCAATATAATCGCTTAAAATAAATAAACTTTTACATCACACTGTATTTAAAATTGTTAATATTGTGAACCAAAATAAATGATTGAATGGATAAGAATAGATCTGATGACATGTGAGTCTATAAAATTAAAATCACATTATTAAAGTGAGCGTTGGAAAGACAAATAAATATGGAACTTCAAAGGCGAATTAAATTGTAAATATACGGACTAGCGCAAACAATCGCTAGCAGTATCAATATAATATGCAGATACTACACTACAATTTTACGCGATCACGAAAATGTATCCACATCAATTTAACGACTGAATGCAGAGTGCATTACAAAATGTTCAGTAAACTGCATAATCCGTGCTTCTATTTTAGAATTTAGGTGTTTACGTGTGGCAATGACAATGCCAGAATTTAATGCAACGTATCGAACGTTAATAACTATACTGGAAGTAACCTCGCATGTTGTATTAATAGATCGTACGTTATTGGATGTGTAATGAAAATTCTCTAGGATTTAACGTTGCAAACCGAGTACATGCACACGTAATCAACTGGAATTTTGTAAGTAGGTAAACAAATGACGCAAGTAATGACAACTTGTTACATCGATACGTGACAACGACGCACACCGTATTATGATAGAAGGATCATACTTAACTTCAAACGATTGCCAATGTCCTGATGCATAACAAAAATTCCGTTAGAAGAATAAGTAAGTATGACAGAAAATCCATACAATTTTACAAACAAGAAAGGAAAAGAAATCATGAGTCAGTTTCAGAGTGCAGTTAAGACATAAATATATGGGCCATTTTCATGAAGAGATATAATGTTCAATAATGAACGCCACAATGCCTTCAAACCACCACATCATCATTCACATTATGTCAAACTCACCCGAAACTAACTCTACCAAACGTGTTGATGAAAAACGCGGTAGGGTTGCTTGACCTGTTGAAGAAATTAGACAAAAAGAAGCAAAAACAAAAATTATGGGTACTTATGCAAGCCTCTAAGCCTCGCGGCACACACAAACCCCACTCTAGTAACGACACTTGGCAAAGTAAAATACACATTTTAAACACAAAATTATTCAATATAATTATTTAGGAAATGTGCATTTAGGTACTACTAATATTTGTCAGACGTAAATCGAGACACTGATAAATCAAAACAGCTATTAACTATAAGCTCAAATCAAGTCGATTTACTCGTTTTACGCATGACAAATATTCTACAGTGCAGTGCACATCAACTCTATGATAGCAGCGACATTCACTTGCAAGTCTCATTGCAACTATATACTCACAGGCAAAAACAAATACACTAGTATGCCATCGACCGAATGCCCCAATAATATATAAATTTTGACTAAACATAAACCAATAAATTAAATATAAATACCAATTTCAAATATAGAAAGTTGCTTTTAAAAATGTAGTCTTGGTGCCTTTTTATTAATAACTAAACAAATACTTAGGTAAAACTGGAATATAAAACATGCTGTAATAAATTAGTTATTAAGGTTTTAAAAAAAAAATATGCAATTCGTACTTACTTGAGGAAATGTTCATTTTCTTCATTCATTTTATCTGCATCCTTAGCTTTGTATTTTATGAGTCTCTCAACTAACGATCGATTTTCATCCTACAACACAAGAATTGCACTGTAAAAAACTATTGGCACAAACACGTAGCTATATAACAACACAAAATAATTAAGTACCCTCTTGAAAACACGCCGCATGTTTATCAATTTAAAATCAAACAGTTCCCGCGAGTCTTATTAAATAGCTAATTTATTAACGACTTGTTCAAAAGAAAACATGGAAATCAACTCCTGACACACTGCCACGAAATTTTCTATCTGACTGAATGTAAGTGATGTTACTTGAGACACAGCTATAAGCATTTCATACACAGCTGTTATCACGTGATCGTCGTAAAATATACAGCGGGCTACATTTTATGATATCCTAGTAATTCATTACATTAAGTGATATGTTGTCTGAGGCATAGCTTCGCATGGGAGCTTTACGAGGTCACCGCGCTATTTGTGTTAAGCCCAGTACCAAATCAGGATTAGATCACCCACTCGGCCGAGTTGATTTGATATATTGTGTAGTCAATGCGCTTTGACGGATATGAAGGCCCGCTATCTTGCGTGAATGGTAATTACCGGTTGTAGTTAAAGTACTAACAAGATTTCTTTATCTATTGCGATATCTAGCATAGCTTTTCCTAGAAAATATTGAAATTAAAGTATTTTAGAGTCAAGACTATTTTTAAAGATTTCTTAAAATATTAAAATTTACTTTTTTGACATTGAGAAATGGTTTTGCTAAATAGAATTTTACAAACACATGAGCATCGGCGAATTCTGTCATCGAGAGTAATTACACACTGTAGAAAGAGTATCTAAATATAAGTGCGAATGAATGGAATAAACTTGCAAAAAAACTGTCAAAAAAAAGGACCGAGGAATATGAAACACGCTGCATATTAATATAAAGACAAGCTAGAATCAGCTTGGAGTCTTGCCAAATTTTAAATGATGCTATAAAAATCTAAAGTTCCAGCGGAAAAAATTGTTCAATAACGACCACCAGTACTATGCCAAAAATATTTTTACTCAGTATAAACAAAAGCAAGACAGCTTCAAACGTAGTGGAACGTATCTTTTTTAACTGCCTTCAACAAGTAACAGACGAGGCAAATATGAGCTAATGTTTAATTACTGAGATAAAATCGTTGATTCATTACTCAAAGTCGTGTTTAAAAGCTATTTTCAAATAAGTGTTTAGTGTGGAAAGCTCGGATGTGTGGTGAACAAGAAAATAATGTGGGTTGTGGCGTTTCTGAATGAATAACAATCTGTGATGTTCATAATTTATAGCGAGTAAGAATTTTTTTAATAAGTAGATAATTTAGCGTTGTCTGTGTAGTGTGTACTGGAAAGTCTAGCTTGTTTACGTTTGGAAAATTATTCAAAACATTTGTACTTTATTTCTAGACTAAACTAGATTAGAAGACTTTACTTATGATCATTTAGATATTATATATATTTAAAAATTAGTTAGTTTTTTAGAAACCTTTTGCAAATCATTTTAAAAATATTTTATCTTTCATACTATACTTAACTACTTAGAAAGGAATTAGAAAGAATTTAAAATGTATTTTTACAGTTATATTATGCGTGTTTATAACAAAATAGGCGCAACGCCGGGCGCAGCAACTGTTTTTTTTCTACAAAAAATCTATAGGTAGTTTGTTTTAGATGTAGAATAAAAATGTTTGTAAATGCTGTTTTACCTATAAATATTTGTTACACTCACTGTAAAAAACTCACATATGTATTTTGACAATTGTATTGGTGTAAACAAATGTTGGTAAATTATATATAAATAAATAATATGCTAACATTCATGAATAATACAGTAATTGTCCTCTCAGCAATTATCACAATTTTTTACATCACGTTTATGAAAAATTTCACTTAACTATGTATGCGCAAAACTGTTTTAATATTGAATATTTACTTGTGGCATTTAAATTAACTTTTTTTAACTAGTATATTTTTATTATAGATATTTTATTTGTGTAGCAAAATTTCCAGAGGTATAAGTGTATCGGAATTCACCACAGATTAAATATAGCCGCCACAGATTATATATAAATATATTGTATACAAATCAATATTATATATATATCGTTTTGTTACATGACATTGATTTACGAGCATCTATAGAATTTTTTGCTTAAACATTAGTGATATTGTCAGAAAACAAAGAACCCACTTCTGAGTGGGCTTTTGATATACCAGTAAGTGCTTTCGGCAACAATTGAATTTATTTCAATTTGTGAGTACCACAGATTACACCACACTGGAACAGTAAGATGATATGTGGGACTTTAACAAATTTAAACAAAATGATGGCCTCGCTAAGTCCGTGTGGACAGGTTACCAAGGACTTCTATATATTTTATAGCTTCATATTTATGAAGGTGACTCGCTGAAAACCGATAGAGTGGTAAACACACAATTATAAAAAAGTAATTATTTAAAACTAAGCTTAAAAACAAAGTAAAGAACATTTTTAATAACATTCTAGTGATACTCTTCTTGAGCTGTCTACGCTAGGGAGGACTTCCCTGCTACTTAGTACTTACTACCTTCTAATTTTTTTTATACAAAATACCTGTGCTTTCCTCAATTTCTCCTCTATTGAGGCAAATGCGATCTGTAAGGCTTGATGTTCATCCCTTAATACTTGATTTAGTCCTTGCAATTCTGACATATTTGTTTCATACATTTGAATTTCAGCCCGCAAAGACGCTATCACCGCTGTGTTTTCTGAAATTCTAAAGAAATAACAAAAGTTTTATTTTTAATGTAGACAAAACATGTGTTCACGAATAATATTATGCACATAATAATTAAGTTGAAGGTGACAAAGTTGTTGTAAAGATATCCTCTATTTCGTTAGTTAGTTTATGAAATTAATATTTAATTTCATAAACATCCAAATCTATTGATCGCACTTGCGAGAGCTGAACAAAATAGCTCGGCAATAGCCGAGCAAGGGTTCTCGCCTCAGGCTCGAATCCCAGATGGGGCAAAGTAGGTACAAAGGGTACTAGTTCAGGAAATAAGGGTTAATTTGTTTTTTTTGTGAAATGGAATAACTAATATACGATTCATTTAAATTACAAATATTAGTTTCAAACTGCACACTGGAACCGCAGTGAATTTTTGTCCAAACTAAAAAAAAAAAGTAAATAGAAAATCTTAGTTTTAGTCATTCATCTCATTTAGCGGTCTGTATTGTTTGACTTAAATATTATGCACACGTCATAGTGCAAATACTCATCACTCATTGTACAAATATACAAAGTCATTAGGCAAACTTGAATGATCCCGTTAAGCACACAATAAGTCCAGTGGCATTAGGTTGGACTTTATATGTTTCCGTAGACTTTATTATCTGTTTACTTTGTGTTATTTTATAAGGTATGTGACTTATACTTATTAATGTTCTATTAAAAAAAAATGTGTGATAATATGAGAAATATCTATGAGTTATAAAATAGTATATACGGCAACACTTTGTCATTTATCAATTTTAAACAATTTTAAAAAACATGCAACTCTAGAATTTTCCTCTGTATCATAGGTATTATTATGTTTAACACACCACACCTAGTCCTCTATACAAACCATAACTGGCCAAAATTAAGAGCACACCTTGTACCACTCGAGCCAAGTGATGTAGGCATAGTGTTTGACTAATTATTTAGTAGTTAAAGAAATAGCCCAGTACTTACATAATATCTTTAGCTTGAAGTTGTTTCTCTAAATCATGTACTTTTTCATTCAGACTCATAATCTGCTGTGCATTCTCCCCTCTTCTCCTATGCATAGAAGTAAGTTCTTCTTGCTGCGCTAAGATTTTTTGCTCAAGAGCCTGTATCCTTTCATTGCTGGCATTTCCTGTAATTGTATTATTTCATTCATCAGCAAAATCCTAAATATGTCAAATATTTAATTAGTAATGACTGTTTATTATTGAAGTTTTGAAGAAATGTAATATTTACAAAGGAATAATTAAATTTGTTTGGTTTCATTTTACTAATGTGTGCAGTAGGTAATTAAGAAAAGACAAAGAGTTTAAACTTAAGATACTTTTTCACATAGAAGCTTCAAGAAGACTTTATGGCGCTTAATGATGTTGGTATATAAGCATATAAAATAAGCCATCGACTAAGTGCCAAATGTAACATTGGCAACCAAAATTTATTATTCTTGGACTTGTGTGTATTACGATGAGGACGTGGAGAGGGAGCGCAGGGCGCTGGCGGTTCGCGGGAACATGTTGTCGCGCAGATTTTTTCGTTGTACCGATCAGGTAAAAATAACTTTGTTTAAAGCGTACTGCCAAGGCCTGTATGCGGGAAGTCTGTAGTTCAGCTGTTCGCGTGGAACGCTAGGCGCCTTGCGCGTCCAATACAATAATGTTTTCAGGATGATGTTGAAACTCCCGCGTTTCTGTAGTGCCTCGGGGATGTTTGCTCAATCGCATACAGATAGTTTTCATGCGATCATCAGAAAAAAGGTGGCATCGCTTGTGAGAAGGATCCGGGGGAGTGACAACAGCATCCTGAAAGTCATTGCCGAGGACCCGAGAGCTCCTGTACTGAGGCATCTCATGAGGAATCATTGTCCTTCTGAGGAGCCTCGTAAGTACATGACGCACTGATTTTAAAGTTGCCAAATATAATTGTAATTATTACTAATCCTAGTGTTTAAGTTTAGCATGTAAGGTACTAACAAAAGTGGATTATTTGTTGTCCGAATAAAAACCTTTATTATTATTATTATTATTAAAAAAATCATTATTCTGATGAATATAAACTTATTTATACAATTTTATACACAACCCTAAATTAATATTAAACAATGTAAATTTCACTTACCAGTTCCACTAACACTTTCAGCTCCCGTAAACCGTATTCTTTCATTGAGCAATGTTAACTGTAGATTCTCATTCTTTAATGTGTTTACATTGTCAAACAGTCGGCTTTCTGAAATTATTAATTAATTCTATTAAATATTTTTCCTCTATCAATTTTATCATAATATATATGTCTAATAATAAAAGCGATTAGTGAAGGGTATTGCCATAAAAAAGTTAATATTTAGCATGTAAACTGCATCAGCTTAAACTGTCAAATACCAAGTGGTCACCGGTGACCGCAACCTATTGTTCTTTAATTTTGTCTATAGTGACGGTATTCAACGAGTTAAAACAGATAAAATAGATATTATATTCATAGTTTTTACTTTCTAAACAAGCCTTACTATAGTTTTACTTTCTCAACATGCCTTATAATCCCCAATAGGACAGTTAGAAATGCATGTAACAATTTCACTAGCTATGGTATGTTGCCTGTTTATGGAATGCAAAGGTAATGTGTCATACAACATATATTTTAATGGAAATCTTACACGTAAATATATTACTTTTCACAGTTTTGAAAGTGAAGTAAGATTTCGTTTTGGTCTTAAGGGTGTACTTAATTCATAATAATTGTAATTTATATTTTGTTGTCTTTATGTGGTGGTACATCTTGCTTTAAATACTTAAATATTTTAGCTTGATTATTTTACCATTTACCTACATATTTAAGATTGTGTAATTATTAATTCTTATTGCATTATTAACTAGAATGTAAACTTATCAGACACAATCTAAGTTCAGTCATGTATAAGAAAATGATTTAATTGACTTTCATAGAACATTAAAACTTGTTGATTAGAAATGTAGGTAGGTCAGTCATTCAACTTGAGTTATTATATGAATGCATTACACATTTACATACATTGTGTTAGAGTTTGTTTAGACATAAATATTCAGAGGCTATTGTTATCCTTAATCACAACATTTTATCACTGATATGTGGTGATAAGCCAACACTGGTAACATCACCGTGTGAGCAAATATTTCTATAAATAGACAAGGTTTTTGAACAGTTTTTTTTCTTTACGTAAATATTTTTTATATATCAATTAATCTTCATTCCATTCTGCTTATATGAGCAATGACAGAGGTTATAAACAAAGTGACTTCAAAACAAATTAATGGTCATGATAACAAATGAAATGAACACAAACTATCTGTTACGAACAATGGATTATTAGTCTAGTGATAAATCTTGTCTATTTGTTAAATTATATTACAGTGTCAACACAAAGACGTCCATAGGTTAAGTTACTTACGAAAAGCTATAATGTCTTGAAATGCCGCTGTTTCATATTTATTTCTAGCCTGTAATTGGCTGATAATATTCCTCCTCCATTCCCCAGCTTCCATTTTCACCGTGCTATTAATTAACTGATACAAATTAATTAATAAATCAACTCAGGATCAAAACAAACAGATGTCATAATGTTCATCGACGATGTTTTAGGTATAACAAAGACACTCCGTGATGTTGAAATTGGAAATTTTGTTCTGCGCATTTAATGAACTTATTTATGCTCTAATTACGACGAAACAAGCAGAAATATTCAAAGATTTTTATGTATTTCCGAACAATTTCAATGACAATACGTTAAATCACACTCTTGACATTGACATGACAGAAGTGACAGAAAGCAGAAACCAAACTGAAGTGAAGTTAGCTACAGTTGTGATAAAGACAATGTGTTGATAGGGATGTGCCTATGGACATCGACTAAAATAATACATCGGGAAAATATTATATAGTCGATCAATGCGATTGAAACAGTACTTTTTGCATAAATTATTTCCCGGGATTCGAATAGATAATTAATATTATATTAAATGTACTTACTAGTTGTGTATATCGTTTTTTAGATGTATTGTATCTAAAAAATATGCATTAAGTACCTACCTACACATTTCTTAAGCAAGAGTCAGAAGGCCTTTAGAAATATAATGTTTAATGTAGTAGTAGTGACACTAGAACTTATCGTGTAGTTAAATAGGTAGTGTAAGTACCTACCTACTTCCTACCTTCCAGGGTAAACGGCCGTAAACTTACGTAACTTTCAATAAAAATTATATAATTACCAAGTGGTGCTATTTCGAATTTATAGTCATTTGGAAAATAGAGAGCCTATCTAAATATAAATATAGGTGCCTATTGTGCCGATACAGCATTCCAATATTACGTAGACATGAACGAATCTAAAATGATGTGCCGATGTGCGTCAGAATAGTTTTATTGTTATGAATATCGAGAGAATATAGAGTTATAAAACAGGATTCAATGTTCCGGATAGTGCATCGATTATTGTGATGGGCAGCGTTGTTAGTTGCCTACATATATGACAAATAAACTTTTTTTTGGTCACGTCCGCTAAGTCATAACTAAATATATATCGCGTTATACATATACATAGTAGGTACCTACCTAATTACCTGCTTGTTACTTCACTGGGTGATTGGCTACCCATACAAGTTAAAGGCAGTACATTTAAATAAGAGAAAAGCTTGCACCTAGGAAAATACCCAAGATTCCTAGAACAGTTTGTATTCAACATAGACCATAAACTACATCAAAAATTGCCTAAGCACCTTCCTACATAATTATCTTAAATCTCTTGAAATATTATACCTTGCGTATTTCGTAAGAATTACGAATTTGTATAATATTGTTTTGCAAACTTATGAAAAATTTATGTATTTATATATCTATAGGTATGTGTATATATAATGAACCATATAACTACAACAATCATACCTATGTAGTTAACTAATACAATACACAGACAGACTACTCACCTACCTTGTAATCGTTATCATCCTTCGTCAAGGACCTCATTCATCTGGACTTCGACTGTTACTATTCAATTAAGGATTGGAAATTCAATTATAAGTTTTGAGAGTCAGAGCTGAGAGCTCAAGGTATGCGCTCAGGCGTCTAAATTAATTCGTACTTTGAGATATGATTATCTGTTTACCGTTAAGACTATTGGGATTAAGAAGTACCAACGGAGTTGTGTTGATCTTGATTAACGGGATAAAAGAAAAAGTTTAATCCGATTGGAAATAGGTATTGGAACCGCTCTAGTCAACCGTAGACTGGTAAGTAAAGTGGTATCGTCGAACTACGTAATTAACAAAGCGATTATACTTACACCGATGCTTTTATAATTCCTAATTTAGATTTTATTTTTGTGACTAGATACATGAGAGTCGTTTCATAAATAATTCACTATGTTTTAAGGTTTTAATCCTATGACTGTAGGCGCTATTGTTACCTAATCCATTGATGGTTTAATGAAATTAAAATCTAAGTTTAGATTTCTATTTTAGGTAATTTTAATCGATGTTAGAATTACAATACATTGCGTTAGTTTGTGTAACAACTTTAACTTTACTTTACAACCTTAGAAAATAAAACATCTTTTTTGTTTTTTTTTTATTGATTGGTTTATGAAAAAACAAATACCTATCGATTTGACTGCACGGTTGGCTCGGCGTCTGGGAAACCAGCTGCCGCACAACGTGTAGCGGGTTCGATTCCTGCACGGAGCAACTCTTTGTGTGATCCACATATTGTTGTTTCGGGTCTGGGTGTCATGTGTATGTGAACTTGTGTGTTTGTAAACGAACCCACGACACAGGAAAGAATGTGTGTGGGGTAACGGTTTGTAGAAAAAAAATGTGGTGTTTAGTATTTATAGGCATGCGTCTAGGTGGTGAACTTAATGAAACCAACCAAAGGACAGCCTCACCCTTATACTTTAAGGTACCTTAGAAATATTTTTTTCCTATCAGTTTTTTCCACAGACTAACTTTGATAGAGCAACTTTTGCTGAAGAAGATTGCAATTTTACCTAAGTTAGAATTTCAACTCCCTAATGTGCTGCGACCGTTTTACACGCTAGGATTACGAGCTGACGACTTGGTCGACCGGCGTGGGTTGCATCACGTACCTACACATACTGAAAATTGGGTTGAATTTGTGTAGGTAAGTATCTATCTATGAAGCACCTGAATACTGAAGACCTATTTTACCTATACCTATTTTAAGTTGTACTTAAAATAGTTTTATCTATGTCATTCTACAAAGAATTTCTAGTGACAGAACTATGCTTAAGCGGGACTTAAAATTGAGTAGCGTTTGAGTATTTCGACATTACTTCCTTTAAATATATTCCTTCTGTTTTAGAAGAAATTAGAATGAAGGTGGGTAATATCAAATATGGTAAAGACTTGTCGTTAATGTTGTACGTGTGTGACACCTACCCGCTTATTATTTACTGATTTTATAATGTTTTCTTTGTTTCTTGTTAATCGTATTAGGATTTTCTTGGCGTATAGGATATTCATGGTAAGTATTATACCTAATTGTGAATTGTCAGTTGCCGAGTCCCTATATCCGTATCTGTACTTGTGTGCTGTGAGTGCTGCGACATTCCGCTATTGTGTAGTGTGTAAGATTATTATTTCTTCTGTAGATTTACCTCTATCTTCTGCTCGTGTTCGGATGGACATTTTAATATTAAAGTGTGCACTTACTGTTCTTACATAAGTAATGTACTCCTTGTATATTTCCTTCATTTCTACTCACCTATAGATTCTTAGAAAACTATCGCTAATTATAGTCTGCGCTCTCTTTTAGTGCACGTAGGTTAAAATTCATTTAGTCTACGCCTACGCATCTGTTCACAAAATTGATATCAATGTCTATCTCGGTTTGGTACGTTGAGTTTAGGTACCTACCAATAGAGCTATTGTGTGTTGAACTTGAACTGATCAATATTGATGTCTACCATGAATGTTCATTCAATTCCTCGTAATCACAGGGACATTGTGGGTCTATTGTCTATTACGTCATACTCCTACTAATATTATAAATGCGAAAGTTTGTATGTTTGTTTTTTTGTTTGTTAACCCTTCACGTCAAAACAGCTGAAGGAATCAAGATGAAATTTGGAACAATGGTAGACTATCGCCTGGAATTACTCATTGGCTACGCTGGAATTACCCATGGGAAAGCGGGCAAAGCTGCTGGCAAAAAGTTTTCTATGTTTCATGAAAACGACACAATTAAACTTAGGTGTAGGTACTATAATAATTAGACATGTTTGGACATCTGAGCCACAAAATTCTACAAGCGCACGTCCGTAGAACAATTGAGTGGTTTAGTTTAGCCAAGTGTCTCGTTAGAGATGTCTTACAGAAAGACTAATGCATTTAGGACGGTCCCTGGAACGATGTTATCGCATTTTCGCTGGATATATGTGCTATAAAGGCCATAACAAGTTTCAGTTGGTAGGTGCCTGCGTCTTCTCCTATGACGTTAAACCGCTGCCTGTTTAAACATGGCTGTATGTAGTTATGAGATTTATTTAGTAGTCTCTCTTAATATGGTTAATGCGATACGGGTTTAAAATAGTCTTTGGAGGCATATCTGCAGTTAATCTACCCGAACATTCATCAACGCTTTCATCTGTAAAAATAATTAATTTTAGACTAACTGCTTACCTGTGTCAGAATTAATCATTAAAATTTTGGATCTATGAATTCTGAAAGTTCTTTTTTGCTATAAAAGAAAACGACTAACTTTTTGAAACTATTTAGAATCTAATATCTACCTACCACTTAGATACACCTACACAAGTAAGTACATATTTATTGGCAAAATAAATCGATTATAAAGTTATAGTATCGCCACCCAGCCGTTGTGGAGCGCAATATATTCGGCTTAATAGTGTAATTTTGCAGGCTCTTGCAATATCTTGCGGTGAACTCGACCAACCCCTGTCGACCCCTGACAGACACCAGATTGCATGCAACATTCTGTCGTTTGCAGACGAGGATTATAGCAACATCACACAGCCAATTTGTTAAGTGTAAAATTCGTACTTATGCAAAAAAATCCATAACTCGTTGCTAAGTAAAATAGATGCTTATTTTTTGTTTTAATTACGAATAAATAATCAAATATGAGAAATAAATAAACGTATACGTACTTCAAAGTAGACTATTTACTCGCGTACTGAATATTTAACATAGACAAACATAATTGGCAATGTCTTATGTCGTACCTTAAAATATAAAGTGAGGTAGTGACGTCGGATCAGAGCAATAAAAGGTCGCGAGTTTCAATCCATACATTATTTATAGGGGGTTCTATCGACAACACCTTCTAAAATCAATATAGGAAAAATCGCGCTATGTGATTCTAGAGCCTAATCAAATAAACCGAGTGAAGTTGAAATTGGAAGAAGTACGACTCCTTCTATTGAATTATTCATTAATTTCAGATACCTTTAATGTAGTTAAAGTGGATTCAGTGATCAATGTGATTTCGATTCTTAATTAAGTTTATTTAAAATCAATGACAGTTTTTTAATTACTCCAAAACAGTTTCATTTGACTCCAATATTTTGAATTGTAAATGTCTATCTATTACTTGATTGTCAGTGCCTATAAAATAAATAAATCGTTGCAACACGCACAATGCACATTGTAACTCAAGTGCGGTTGATTTGATGCGGTGACCTGGCATCACTATCGAGCCACATCGCTCCACACCCGTGAGTGCTAGTGACTAGCACCTATATTGTGGTTTAGTACAAACAATATTCTTAGTGAGAGTAGTAATACACAAAAAT